TATTTTTAATGATGGTCAAGCTGATCAGGAATGTAATTAATTTTGTTTGGTCATGTCTCCGGTTCAAAGAAATAGAAACTCAGAAAAAAAGTACCCACGTTTTTTTTTCTCTCTCACAGTTTTGTTCAACTTCTCTCTTTCATAATTTTATTTTATTTTTTTCTCTTTAAATTTTTTGTATTTTCTATTTGTGTGGACTCCATCTAGTTTTTATTAAAAAAAAAAACCTAGAAAAAACAGGCAGGGCCCTCAGCGCTCCTTCCACGTTCAATAATGCTTTGTATTCGTATTTTGCAGTCCCCCTTTCCCGTTCTCCCCTTTCCTGTACGGTAGCATTTTTGGGATTCGAAATAACAGAAAGGATTATTATTGTATTACATTAGGAAATTCTTTTGGCTGTGAATGGTAAAGGAAAGGCACATGCAAACCACTAATTATCATATATTCGTTGTATGGTTGTACTCAACGCTTCAACTCACTGTTCTTAGTTCAAACTCTCCTTTTTTTTTTATGTAGTTTATATATATATATATATATGCAACAATTTATTTGCACTTAGAGGTGAAAAATAAATTTATATTAAACTCACAGGTTTATACTTAAGACTTGTCCATTACAAAATTAGAGCAATAGGTCGGTTATAAAAATTATCTATTAATCATGGAATAAGCATATGTGATCAGCGGAGGCGATGATGGAAACCCTAGCTACAAACCATTGATACTTTTTTTTTTTTTAGTACACCGATATATTTTACATTAAGTGAAGGGGGAGTTCAGCTAAACTACATAATGGACAACCTAATTTGATATTGAATTCTCCACTTACGAGATTTAAACCTAACACCTCTCACTTACAAGTGAAAAGAAATACCACCAGATCATAATACTGAATTACAACTATTGATACATTTGACTTTTGATTATTAACAAATGGTGGAACAAATTAGGATTATGTGTTCTATAAGTACATTATCAAGTGGGTGAAATTTGAAATGAATTAATGCATGTAGATGGGGTAAACCTATGGGACAAACTATGGGATCAAGTACTTAATTAATTAACATGCTTTCTAACTTTTCCACTAATCATTATTAGTGTCTCCTAAGTACTTTCATTAAAAACCCAACATGACTGCCAACATAAGATAATGGAAAATACCAAGAAACTTGTCATGCATATATATATATATATATAGAGAGAGAGAGAGAGAGAGAGAGAGAGAAGAGAGAGAGAGAGAGAGGGGCAAAAGGGGACTCTCAAACCCTCCCATGTGAGGTTGATTTGGAGACAAAGCAAACAAAGGTGGACTCTTACTAGCAATTCACATGGGAGGAGGAGGACATGATTCTTACAAGCTCTCCCTCCCTTTCACAGCTCATCCTCTCTAAATTCCTACATCCTTCCACTACATGTATTTTATATACCGAAATATATAGGACTTCTCTTATATATGTAATTAGTCTCCCACATCCCTAATTACTTGTACATACATACTTCAAAATCACGACAATTTGTGAATTAACATGGCCATTTGATCGTATAATAATGGTCACGTTCCATTCTTTTTCATTACAGAAAAACAATAATATTATATATTTATGTATCATAAAAATCATATGATCACTACTAAGTGTTAATGATTCAGGTGTTATAGCATAGATGAACGATGAACTTATACTTTATAATTTAACATCAATAAATATGACATGTTATAACATTGGTCTAGCCACATTAGCTGATTGGTGGTGTGACAGCCACATGACAATGTTGCGATCACACCACATGTTAGTATTGGATAGCACTCTCTACTAATCTATGTATTATATGACATAAATGAGCATCATAGTTACACTTTAGAATATAATGTAACTAATATCATGTATTATAATATCTTTGGATTGATCATACAACTTGATTGTTTTTGTCAAAATCATACTATTAGGCGGTTTTACGATCACAATAAAAATATCTACAAAAAGCAAATTGAGGTAAACAATTTTAAGAAAATAGGGCAAAAAAAGAGTTAAAAGAATGCATAAATCATTCCCCATAACTATTAGATCCTACAAATCGATTGCAATCAAAATTCATCCCCAAGACCTTGGTCAATGGTGTGAGATAACTAACAAAAATGGGCCATATGTCCCGTAGATTTTTGCAGCATTATTGTATCCAAAGGATCAAAAAAGCTCAATAATGCTCTACAACTACAAGCAACTTCAAACTCGTATCCATATGACATATCTTTTGTATATGCATAGTGTAATACATAAGTGATATATATAATATGTATACACACACAAACACACTATGTATTCAGTGCTTCAATTCGTTAAATTATAGGATACATGTATAGTAGGGTAAATCTCAGTTTACTACCCTCAAGTTTCATGGTTTTCAATACTTGGTACATGAAGTTTTTTTCATCCCATAGTCATACCTGAAGTGTTAATTTTGGAACAGTCTTATACATCCGTTAGTCTGGCTGTTAAGTCTCCTGTTAACTGATGACGTGGTGCCCAAGTAGACAATGATTGGGCGCCACATGTCAATAAGGGTCCCACGTGGATATTAAAAATAAAAAATATTAAAAATCAAACATTAAAAAATTACAAAAAAAAAAAAAGTTGTCTTCTTCCTCAAACCCTCGACCCTCCTTCCTTTCTCCCTCCCTTCTCTCCTCTGCACCCACCTGATTCGATATTTTCTCCGAGAGCAGCGCCTCATTTTCATCCTCGTTGACATTGCTATCACCACCGTAGGGTTCACCCTCTTCCCGTCCTCCACCCCCCACTCTCCTTACGCCTCCGACAACGTCCCAATCTTGAACTACGTCAGATACGACTTCGATTCGCTGGTGATGACCCAGTACAAGCCGGCCTACGAACTTAGATTCGGGTTGAATAGCTGGGGTTCTAGTAGGAATGTGCCACTAGGGCTGAAACGAAAGGGGCTTTGGATCATCATGATGGGCAGGGCCAAATCTACTATCTACTCGAGGTCGACCAGATATACCATATGGCTTGCCGAGATTCGAGCTCATCCGACACGACGTCGTTGAGCCACTTCTGCTTGAGGTTGACCAGATCTACCATCTGGCTTACCTTGCCTTCCCTGTCCATCCTCTTGAGGCAGAGCTTTTCGATTCTTCTAGGGCTTCGACGACGACAAGGGGGAATATGTGGCTGGCGCGGTGGGTGTGGTAGAGTAAGAGGGAGGGTGCGGCATGTGAGCGATGGCGTTGGACGGTGCCGTCGGGGGGTACGGTAAAGGAATGATGGATGTGCAAAGGTTGGGTGCGTGCAGATGAGAGAAGGGAAGGAGAAGCAAGGGAAAGTCGGGGTTTGAGGAAGAAGACAACTTTTTTTTTTTTTTTTTTTTTTTTTTTGTAATTTGTTTAATGTTTAATTTTTAATTTTTTTTTTTTAATATCCACGTGGGACCCTTATTGACACATGGTGCCCAGTCATTGTCCATGTGGGTGTCACATCATCAGTTAATGGGAGACTTAACAGCCAGACTAACAAATGTATGAGACTATCCCAAAATTAACACTTTAGGTATGAATCTAGGACGAAAAAAACTTCATGTACAAAATGTTGAAAACCACGAAACTTAAGAGTAGTAAACTGAGATTTATCATATATAGTATATAGTATAGAAATACTATCCATACACATAATGTAATGGGGTTGAGAGGGAAAAAGGGGAGGATGAGGTGTCACATCGGCACATGGGGTGGGGGGGCTGATTCCCTTCGGTTAGAGAAATTTCTCATTGTGACCGGAATACGAAGGGTACACCACGTGTTTTCATAAAAGTGGTGGGAATTTTTTTTTTTTTAAAGTTATTAACTTTTTAACACACATATCTCACCATTTGTATAGTGACACGTAGGGATGGGCAAACTACCTATGGGTTTGGGTAATTGCAGTTACCCGTCCATTGAAAGTTCACAGTTACAGTTATGGTTAACCATTTAGACGAATAAATGGTTATAGGTATAACCGTTTATCCGTGAAATTTAAATGGGCAGTTATGAGTATTACCCGCGGTTATAACGGATATTCATTTACTCATTTAAATGAAATTTAATGCTTTGAATTTGACATCTTGTTTGGAAATGCTACGAGGTGTGAGGGGGTAATGCTAATGTTGATTTTTATTTTGGTCAAAATAATGGTAATGTTGGTTCAGTCGGTCATTCAGATACATAGAGATTTCAACCAAGTTTGCAAAGATCCTAAAAAAAGCCATTTGCTCTTTGCTCTTTGCTCCTGCAGTGCAGACGACTGCAGTGACCTTTCTCCGACGATATCCATATTCTGATAAACCCATTTATAATTAAAGACTTGTTTGGGTGTAGCAAAAAAAAATCGTTCGTAAACTATTATTTTAATTATTGGAATTGTATGATAACTTAAATGATTAAAATAGGGAAATGCATGCTAAGATGTACCTATAACGATGTTTAATTATCAGAAAACAAAAATTATAACAAATTTATCTTTTCTAATTTTTAAGTTGTTAAAAAAAACATGTAGACGGGTGAAAAATGGGTTAAAAAAAATGATAAACGGGTTCAAAAATAGGTAAACGGGTAAATAGTTATGGTTAAATGGGTACACAGTTATGAGTATGGTTAACCGTTTATAAATGGTTATGGGTATGGGTATAACCGTTTATGCAATTACCCAATGGGTAAACGATTATGCGGATATGAACATAAACGGTTATGGGTAAATAACCGCTGTTACCCACCCACCATAACCATTGCCCATTCTTAGTGACACGTGGTGTATCACCCCATGTACCGGTTACACTGAAAAATTTCTCCTTCGGTTGATAAACTATGCAGAGAATGCAGTGGTGGGATACTTTTTCCAGTAGTGAATCGAAACCATTTTGGAGGGAGTCCCACCACCCCAATCCTCCTCACCTCCCTCCCACCCCAGCTGTTGCTAGCTGTCCCTAATCCCCACCCCCATGTGACCCACCTCCCTCCCTCTCCAAAACCTCAGGGCCTTAAAAAAATGTCCCCAAAAATCCAAAGGAAATGCCACTCATTCATTTATGTTTATGATTATTATGCTAGCTGCATGTTGCATTCTGATTCCTGTTTCTCCTGCAGCTGCCCATGTACTCCTGCTGCCCTGCTCACTTCCCTTTAATATATCTCTTTACTGTTTTTTTAGGACTCCCGAGATTTATTTGCCCTAAATATTAAGGGATCATTGCAGTTGTAGGTTGTTTGTTGGGTTGGTTGTTGGTGTTTCCATTTTCTTTTTCTTTTTTCATTTTTTTCCTTGGGATTTGGTTTCTGGTTTTGGGTTTCTCTCTCTAATTACACACATATTTTAGGGTACCCTATATTTGGGAGGGGAGGTCGCATTGAGAGAATGGCACAATTACCTCCTAAAATACCAAGCATGACACAAAATTGGCCATCCTTCCCTCACCAAAAGCTACCCGCCATGGCCAATTTCATCCCCACCACGACGACCACTTCTGCCGCCGCAATTCAACCCTCGTCCAACCAACCGAACCAACAACAACAATCCTCGTCGTGCAATTGGATGGACGAGTTCCTCGACTTCTCCTCCGCCAGGCGCGGGGCCCATCGGAGGTCTGCAAGCGACTCCATTGCCTTTCTCGAGTCCCCGTTGATACTTGACGAGGAATGCAGGAATCCTACCGCCACCATGATGCATCATCACGGATCCACCAACAACCTTGGCTTCGACAGACTGGACGACGAGCAGCTCATGTCCATGTTCTCCGACGACATGTCCGTGACCGTGCCACCTACCATCTCGTCGTCCAACCCGTCCACGCCGTCCGACCAGAACAGCAATAACGACGAGAACAATATTAATAATGTCAATAATAATAACATGAAGCCATTGATGCTTCATTTGGACCAGCAGCAGCAGCCTAAAACGGAGCCCGGAGAGGTTGAAAGCTCGTCGTGCGAGGCTGACGCTAATGCTCAATCTCATCCGCCACCGCCCACCTCCCCGGCTGACCCCAAGAGGGTCAAAAGGTAATTTCACAACAATGTGTTTAATTTACAATTTTGTTACAAGATTATGCATGCACGGTTTGGACATTCAAAAAATTTGGGTTGCTGCCAAAATGTCATTAATTATAACTAGATAGCTTAATTTAATTACAAACATTTTTGGGTTGTGATTGTAGGATTTTGGCAAACCGGCAATCAGCACAGAGGTCGAGAGTGAGAAAATTGCAATATATTTCGGAGCTTGAGCGCAGCGTTACAACATTACAGGTATACAAGAAGATCAATTACTTTGCTTTGCTTAATTCCTTATCATTGGTAATTAACTTGGTCTGGTGAATAATTGAATTAATTAAACTTGTATGTGTTGTGATTAATGAAAATATTTGAAGTCGGAGGTATCGGCGCTGTCACCAAGGGTTGCATTTCTAGACCACCAAAGGTTGATTCTAAACGTTGATAATAGTGCTCTCAAGCAACGGATTGCTGCTTTGGCTCAAGACAAGCTTTTCAAAGATGGTAATTAAGATATAAGTTTAATTAATAAACCATGATTAATTAGTGTTTATTTAGTGATATGAAGATAATACATGCATGAACCCTTTAGGCTTTATCTCAATCTTCATCTTATGGTGGAGAACAAATTCATAGGAATATCACCGAAAGTCCTTTCTTTCCTTTCGCTGTCCAACTTCCTTAATAGGAAAAAAAAAAAGTATTGATTTAGAAATACCTTTTAATCCCTTCCCAAAAAAAAAAAAAAAAAGAGAAAGTGGAAGCATAATTGTATTCTATTGCATTATTATTAACCCTAATTGTTACTACTAGTTGTTTTTCTATTAAACATTGATACGATTAAGAGTGCTGATCTCAAGATTTATTTTCACATCTGGTGTAGCCAAATTGGCTAGAACAGTGTGCTCTCTACTGCATTCAAGTTTGAATTTTTTTTTTCATAATTTAAATAAATGTAGTTCAGAATATCTTACATGTAACCAAATAAAAACATACATTTTATCCAAATTCCCAAAATTTGTTTTTGTTCCAAATTTTATGTCAACTTGACATTTTGCAGCTCATCAAGAGGCACTAAAGAAGGAAATAGAGAGGTTAAGGCAGGTCTATCACCACCAAACCCTAAAGAAGATGGACAACCAAGGAAACCGAAACCAAAACGCTCAACAGCATCAACAGCAACAGCAGCAGCAGCAATCAAACCCAGACATCATGGTCTGTACGGATCACAATGAGCAGCAAATTCCCAATTGAAGTCGAAGATGCATCGTGAATGATATAATATACAATGCAGAATGCAGATGCATATAGTGGCATATAATGCTAACTTTGGCCTTACATTCACGTGAAGTGTTTCCACTTATATGCGCTATATGTGGTACCCCTGACAATGTAGTGAGATTGGAGGCTAGAACATGGACACGTGGACTGCTTGGATAGGGTGCTGAAAACATTTTTTTTTATTTTCAGTAATCAATTATTTTTGTTGGGGAGGTTGGCCACTTGGCTTTGTTTTTTCCTTTTTTTTTTTTTTCTTCAGATTATTATTTTCAGATTTCTTTGTTTTTTTTTTTTTTTTAACTTTTGATTAATTTTGGAAGAATGGTTGGGGATTTTTTTTTTTTCCTTGGCGGGGAGGGAGGGATCTGTAACATTGAAGAAGAACTGGTCCGGGGAGGAGTGGTCATGTCTGAGTCTAATTGTTGTATCTTTTTTCTGTGCTTTTCTTTCCCCTTCGGACTAATAATGTGTTATGCCAAATATTTATATTATTTGATTTTTTTGAAAAAAAAAAAACTGTAAAATATATCAAAATTCATATGCATCTTGAATTGTTTATCTGAATTTTGATTAAATATGCCATTTGTTCTGAATGATTCATTGTAATTTCATACCTTAGTTTATCCAAATTGGTTCGACCAGTGTGTTTTCTTTTGCATCCAAGTTCAAATCTCTTTCTCTCTACTTTAAATAAATTCAGCATAGACTACTAATGTATCAAATGAAAAAGAAAAAAAAGGAAAAAAAAACCCTTGGTATTTAAGATCGACAATTGTATGATATTGCATTATTTCGAGTAACATCCATTTAAGTTTGGGCCAAAGATTAGATCTTAAATTCACTTAGTTGTACTAGACGACTTGACACTAAACCTAATAGGTTGAAATTAGATAACAACTAGCCTAAAAAACTTAGGGGGTGTTGGTTTGACCGGATTAGGGGGGACTGGACTAGACTAACTAATTGCTAGGTAGTCTCATGTTTGGTTTGCACAAGGATTAGGTTTAATGGGATTAGATGGGACATGTTGGGATTAAAGACTTCGTTAGGTGTTCTTGGCCAAGAACCCCAATTTCGGCCGAACTCGTAAGACCACTTGCGAGAGAGAGTCGTCACCATCACTCCCTGCATTCCCTGCTCCCTCCTTGCCCTACTTCCTCATCCTCATCCTCATCACCCTCATCTCTGTGTCCTGCTTCCCCTCATCAGCATCGTGGTTGCCCTCCACCTAAATCGCCCCTCCTCCCACCCCGTTCGATCTCAGTCGAACTAACCCTCTCTCTCTCTGTCTCTCACTCTCTCTGGTTCTTTTGAATTTTTTCCATCTGTTTTTTTATTTTTTATTTATTTATGGAATCTGGGTTTATTGAAAGGCGTTGAATTTCAGAATTTAAGTTGAGTTTTTGCAGGTTGTATAATGCGATTTAGTTAAGGTTTATGTGTTAGAGTTTGTCAATTTGTTAAATTTTATGGACTGATTGGATTCTACCCGTTGTGTTGATTGTTTGATGGGTTTCAAGCATATTGCTATGTGTGTGTGTGTAGTGTGCAATGTGCAATGTGCAATGTGCTCCAGGGCTCTAGGGACAATGACATGGAGAAAGAGTCCCTGCTTGTAATTTCCAGTGAAGAAGAAGAAGAAAGAGTCCCTGTTTGGACCCAATTTGAGTTGTTTGTGCTAATTTGGTGTTGGATTTGTGAATTGCATGTTGAAATTTTTATTATCCTACTTCTTAGTTCGACACTGCACCAAACGCATCACTAAGTTAATCCAACTTAGTCTAGTCTAAGACAGTTCAGCTTAGTCCCTGCAGCTAGTCCAGTCCGAAATAGTCCGATGCAACAAACGCACCCTTAAGTTGTTAAGAAATCTCTTTGTCACCAATATGGCTTTGTATCTTTCAACCGTATCATTTAATATCTGCTTTAGAGTGTAACTCCTAAATCTACATTCCAAATTTCCAATTCATTTCTCGACGGAAGAGGAACCAGTTTCACTTGTCTTGCATCTCTTCATTCGTTGCATTTGTTCTTCCGTTTAGGATCTTTCATAGCCTCTTGTGCGCTAACCGGAATCGATACAGAGGAAAATTACTTCACAAAAGCAATATATGGTGCAGGAAATTTGCAAGTTTTACACATGATTATTGATAAGATACTTTATGTGCTTGATTTTGAAGCTAAAGATACATATGATCTTCGAGCCTCATGTTGGCCATAAGTTAACCGGTTTAACGCAGAGTACTTGAATACAGAAGTGGATACAAACACACATATTTGGTACAATGACACTTGCATTATTGCACTCTGTACACAGTAGGGTTGTGTGTTTGCTTACAGTCTTCGTATATGTACGCTACTATTTTTATTTGTCTAAACTCGGCACGGCAGTCTCCGCTTTAATCCGCCCTTCCACGTTTGAAATGTGATTTTAGTCCAATCCAGCACTGGTAATAATCACGATCAATGAACGGAGACTCGAGAGCCATGTGCATAAAAGCCAAAGTATCACTGATTCTAAATGGTCCTGCCTCAGTTCCTAGCGCAATGGTAGCCTGTGAGTCCAACTGTCACAGTAATTGATCATTCAGCGTTTACAGTTATTGTACCACTAAACAAGTGAAAATCTAAATCCAGTCAACTAGCACAAAGGAAAAGAAAATTGAAACCCAAGTCAACCAAATCTAAATCCAGTGAATTCACTAAAAAACTAAAATATTTCAGTGAACATCAAGCCTTTCCTTCCGTGCTACTAGAAAAAGGGTGTGAACAGAGAATCTCGTGACTGCTAGAAAAAATATTTCGGTGAACATCAAGCCTCTCTATCTTTGGGTAAATTTTTTGTTTTAATATAAAATTTTAACGGTTAAGATGTTCATAGTATCGGATGCTCTAGAGCACTATTATAAAGAATCTCGTGACTACATCGTATGAGTTTATATATTAGGACAAGAAAATAAAGATATAAGACATACATAAAACAGATCACCGTTATATGATTTTTTTTGTCAAATAATATAATAATGTAGATAAGTTTCCTTATACTTCACGTGACATTCTATTTTATTCGCGTATTAAGTCAAGATGTGCAAAATGTGAAGAAAAAAATGTGCATAAACTCTTTCCGATAGTAGAAAAATTAATCAATATATGACTGCAAATTTACGTTTAAATAAAAACAGTAAACGAAGCTTTTAACAAATCCGCTGTAGCAATACTAAACTTGGAATATTGATCTACCGGGTTCGACTCCCGGCAGCGGAACATTTTTTTTTTCATTTATTTTAATTTTTATTCATAAACTTCTCAACCAAACCTTGGAACCCAAATTTTCTACTCGTTCTTCAATCTGCGAGCGTATTCCTGGTCTTTGTTGATTGGTTCAGTAAATGGTTTTATATGGTAAGAAAGTCGCCAAGTTTATTCGGAGTTAGTCGGATCAGACGAGACGGGTAGGTCTGGTTCTCTGAACCCTGCTAAGAAAGCCGGCATCGGCTCCACTACAGATACTTGGGTCGAAAGTAGATCCTAACAAATTGGAATTCCTTCTTAAAAAGTCTGACAGTTACCTTACCAACGCCTGCGCTGTTATGGTGATGATTCCTTCTTTTTCTGCTATGAGATACTGCACTAACATTAAGATCCAACCTGTTATGATTCATTCGCAAAACTTGTTCAACTGCATCAAAAGGGTACATGATTTTTCTCACTTTGATACTCTATGTTGTCGACGAGAATGAGTTCATCATTCTCGCAATCAGATAGAAGGGACTAGTGTTTTGACAGATTATTAATTGTTTCTTATCGTTTTCTTCTCGTATATATTTTGCAGAAGAATATAGTGCCGAGTCCCCACTGGAGATGAGAGCTTTGCATTTAGATGCTACCTATGCAGACTACAACACCGGGAGAGAATTTGCTTCATGTTTCCTGAAGCTTTCTCTGTGTTAGCAAGATTCCATCATCTCCACAAATCTCTCCTCAATCCTCTTGATTTGTGTTAAATTTAGAATGATTGTATAGGGTTGACTTGGTGTTTTCAATTGTAATAAATTATTGTATCAAATATGTTCTATATATCTTGTAATTCTGGAATGAATGAAATATAGGAAAATCATTTTCTACATGGTATCACCTAGGTCTAGGCTCCTTCTTCTCGAAAAACCCTAGCCGATCCCTGCCTCCTTCTTCTCGGAAAAACACTAGCCGATCCCTACCTCTTCTCCCATGGCTACCTCCGGCCCTAGTATTGCTAGCTTCCTGAAATTAGATGAAGACAATTATCCTGAATGGCTTCGCCAGATGAAACCATTCCTTATTGGTCAAGGACTCTACAAGTTTGTTGATGGCTCTCACCCAAAACCTTCAGCTACCATTCTTGCCGTGACCCCCACCCCTTCTTCCCCCACCAATGCTCCAGCTGCTACTGTTCCTAATCCGGCTTTGCTCCCATGGATTCAACAAGACCAACTTGTGGTGAGTTACATCACTACTACGCTAACCAAGCCCATTATTTCTCTTACCATCGGTTGCGAGACAGCCCAGGCCATATGGGAATGTCTTCATCATCATTTTTCCCAAACCTCCATTGCTAGCTCCGCCTCACTTCAGTTTCAACTCCTCGACCTCACAAAAGGAACCAAATCTCTTAATGAATACTTGCTCCAAGTCAAACACATTGCTGACTCCTTGGCTGCCATCAACAAACCTGTGGATCCTGAGTATTTAGTCACTCTCACTCTTCGCGGCCTTGGTCCAGAATATCTCATGCTTCGAACCGCCATTCTTCAAGGTTCTTCCCTTCCAACCTTCACTGAGCTTCGCTCTCGCATCCTAGCCTTTGAAGCCCAAGATCCCCACTTCCACGCATCATCTTCATCCTCCCATGCTCTCTTTAATAACCACCTTCCACCATCGGCTTCTCAAAACCTAGCTCCACCTCAACCTACCCCGGGACATAAGCCCCACAATCCCAAGGGTTTCCATCGAAACCATATTGGATGTGGTAACTACCGTAACAACCGGTTTTCTCACCGCCGGTACAACAATAATCCTGGCTTCTCTCTTCCCCTGGCGCAAGGTCAGCAACCATGGCTTCCCCGCCCCCTTTCTTGGTCTGCTTCAACTAATGGACTGTTGGGTCCTCCTCCCACCTGGTGTCCCAATTGCAACACCAATCAACACAACCAGGCTCACTGCCCGCACCGGTACA